CCTGGCAGCAAACACTGGCTGCCAATCCCCATGCGGGGTGGCCCTGGTACCCCCCCGGGGTACTCACCGAGGTGGGCGCATGGGAAAAGCCGTGCTCCCGCTCCAGCAGACGAGTGCCAAGCTCCTGCTTCTCCCGTCCCCACCTCCTCGCTGCCTCTTCCAGCTGGGACAGACCCAAACCAGGCTGGCTTTCTCCAGGGTGTGGGGGCCAGAGGTGCCCCCCACCCTGGCCTGACACCCCAAACCCCCTACCATCAGGTGGGGTGCAGGTGGGCGATACCCACCTGCTTCTCCAGCGCCCGCCCGCGGGCTTGTGCCTCCTCCAGCCTGGCCAGCAGAGACAGCTTCTCTGCACCCCCAAAAACACCCTGTGGACCACAAGATGAGCAGGAGTGGGGAAAGGCAATGCCAGGTTACCCCTGCTTCCCACCCCCTGCTCATGGGGGGACCAATCCATGGGGGTGGCTATCACCCCACAGAGACGCCACCTAGGCCAACGTGCCCAGTTATCCCCGGGCATTGCTTTCTGGGGTGCCATGGCTCTGCCCCCCCTCCCAGCCCTGTGCCCCCCTCCCTGGTCTCACCGGCAAGTCTGGGGGCCGTGGGGCGATGGGGGGCAAGGGGTGGGAGAGCTTCGCCAGCTCCTCCTGCAACCTGCGGTTCTCGGCCAGCAGCGTGGTGTACACCTCCCTGGAGAGGGCTTCACCTGTGGGATGGGGTGGGGGAGGCACTGGGATGTGTCCCACACCTCCCACCCATGCAGAGACGGGGACTAGGAGCCAGCCCTTGCCTCCCCCACACCCGGCAATGGGTACTGGAGGGCTCAGGACCAACACGGTACAAACCAGCAGAAGGGGGTGGCCAGCGAAGCCCAGCGCGAAGCCCAGCAGGAAGCCCAGCAGGAAGCCCAATCCATCCATCTGAGTGCATCCACCCCACGAGGGTCCCCCTCCCCACTTGCACCCACCCGCTGCCTTCTCAGTGCTCCTGCCCGTCCTGGTGAGCTTCTCCTGCAGCACCTGCTCCATCGCCTTGATTACCTGTGGGAGAGAGCAGAGCCATCCTGGTGTCACCAGCTCAATGCAAGTCTGTGGTGATGACCACGTCTCCGCAGCCACCATGGTCCTGGGAGGTAGTGCTCATGGAGGGCTTGGATGGGCCAGAGGGTCCCATCTGCTCCACAGAGTGTCGTGCCCCCCAGTCTGATCTTCTCACCCCAGCCTTTTGTCCCCAAACTCACCTTCTCCTGCTGCTGCACCATCTCCTCCAAGACCTTCATCTTGGCCACCTTCTCCTGGCACCGCCTCAGTGCAGTTTGCTGCTGCCGGTGGGCTCGCTGGAGCAGCAGCAGGTCCTTCTCCTGGTCGTTTTTCTGGGGGGGAGAAAGAGGATAACCCCCCAGGGACCTCTGTGCTGAGCCTCAAGCCTTGGGGCATCACTTGTAGGGCAGGGTGGGGCTCCTGGGGCTCTCAGGCACTTGCTTGGCTATGGGGATGCTGTGATGCTCTCCCTGATGCCCCTTTGCCCCTCCATCCCCACTCTGTCCCCTGGGCAGCCCCTGCCTGCTCTTGCCAGCGTCCATACCCGGATCAGCTCATTCTGCAGCTGCTGAACACGGTCCTTCAGCCTCCTCATCTCCGCCGTGCTGGCCACCAGTTTGTGCTTGAGGGTGGCTGCAACAGCCCAGGCCACATCCTTATTGCCCATCCAGGGGACGGCACAGTCCCCCTGCTGCGCCAGGGGAAGGGGTTCCCCAGTTTCCACCTCCCCCTTCCCCATCACACACCGAGCCGGTCCAGCAGCTCCTCCCGGGTCATGACGTCCAGGTCCATGTCATCGAGCAGAGCATGGCCCAGCTCCTCCTGCGAGGCCAGGCTGCGCCGCAGGTGCCCATTTTCCACCTCTAGGCTGGTGACATGCTGGCGCAGGGACAGGAGGTCCCCTGCCATCCGCTTCAGTGCCAGGCGGTAGCTACTCACCTCCTGCCAGCCAAGAGCAGAGCTGCTGGCATCCCGCTGCCAGACAGGGCTTTCCCTGGCACGAAGAGCTCAGCTGAGGGTATTTGTCTTGAGGGCCAAACCCACCATGGGGGAGCTAAAAAACTTTTGATTTTTCCCCTCCTCTTGCAACCATCCATCCATCCAGCCAGCCAGCCTTCTTTTCCCCATCCATCCACTGTTCTCTTTCCCATCCATCCATCCATCCATCCATCCATCCATCCATCCATCCATCCATCCTTGTCTTCTCCATCCATCCTTCTCCAACCATGCACACTTCTCTTCTCCAACCACCCATCCATCCTTCTCTCCTGTCCCTCCAAACCTTCTCCTCTCCATCCACCTAACAGACATCCTCCATCCTCATTTCCCCATCTTTTCCTACCACACTCTTGGGGGAAAAACAACTCTCCCAAGGACGTGGGGTGGAGCAATGTTGGAGCTGTGGGTCAACCTCAAACTCTGAACCTTAGGGGGCCTTGTAAGTCTTTAAAAGAAAGAGATGGTGAAGAGTAGCAGAAGGATGGATGTTTTACACAGCTGAGCCTGGGGGATTTTGGCACCAGTGTGGCTGGGGAACTGCTTGCCAGGTGATTTGGGGGGGAAATAATTCCCGAGGGTTTGCATCTTCTCAGGCTGACCCTCCTGAATCCCTCCATGCTGGGCTGCAGAAAGGATCCCGGCAGCAGGGACCTTGGCCGGAGGGAGCTGCATGCCTCCAGCTCCCCTGGCCCTCCGCTCCCAGCCTTGGGGCTGGCCTTGGCCAGCAGCCCGCGGGGGGGCTGGGGTGCAGGAAGGGGGTGCAGCAACACCATGCAGCCTTGGGGAAGGGGGCGGGAAAGGGGGGGCAGGTGCAGCCAGAGGCTTGGCTCCCTCCTCCCCATCTGCCCAAGAGCTGTTTCATCCAAAACTCAGTTCATGCCCAAGATAAAGCCTCTCCAGGCAAACTCAAAGGCTGCCCCTCACCCTAGACCTTCACTCACCAGCATTGTAGAGCCGACAGCAGCCTGGCTTCGGTCCCCACGGGAGCCAGAACCTGCCTTGGGGACACTGCTGTCCCCCACCAGTGCCCCCACTGCCCCTCACTCCTCCTGTCTCCCTGGCACTCACCGACTCCTGGTGGTCCCCGATGATATCCTGGGCCCTGTGGAGCAGAGAGTGGGAGGACGCCCTTGGCCAGCTGTTGCCACCGGGGTGAAACACCAGCAAAGCCTTGGCCAAGGAACACTCTGTAGGAGACAGGAGCCTGTTTGGGGTGCTGGAGTTGGGGCAAGGCAAGTGCTGGTGGGGATGAGGGTGCAGGAAATGTGGGAGCCTGGAGGAGAGGAGGAGGAAGATCATCAGTGATGGGGCAGGAGGAGAAGCTGATGAGGAAATCATGGGGAGAATGGAGGAAGGAGGAAACGAGACTAAGGAAGATGAGAAGGAGCCAAGAAGGGGCTGCAAAACTGGCATGGCCTCTGTACCTCCGCTCCTCCAGCAGTGCTCCCGTCCCATGCGGGAGCAGCTTCTTTCCAGGCAGGATGCTGGCCACGGCGTCAGCCGTTGGGAGAGACACATCATCGTGGTGGAGCTGGCAGGAGACATCGGAGTGGAGGGTGAGGATGAGGAGCAGGAAGGGGAAAGCCCTCCAAGAGGAGCAGCAAGCTCCTTTAGCCCCTTCCCCACAGCTGGAAGAAGGTCTCCTGGCTTTAAGCTGGAACAAAACACCTTTTCCACCATCGCTTTGGGGTCAGCATCCAGCCCTACCCCAAAAAACTCTAGCATTTCTGGCCACGATGCCTCAAGCATCCCCCTTTGGGGCTTGGATGCAACACGTTGTGGACACAAGGCTGGAAGACCCCTGAGGTTGGGGACACTTAGAAATGCCTGGCTTTGAGCATCATCTCATGGCTGGACCACTGAGCTATGCACCCTGGGGAGGAAATCTGCCTATGACTGAAGGCAAGCCCAGCTGGGTGCTGTTCCTATAACAGGGACCTCTGGGTCCTCATCTCCTGCTGGTGACACCAGCGACAGGGTGATGTCTCCATCCCCACCCACCACCCCCAGCACTCACAGTGGAGGAGAAGGGTCTGTAGTACAGCTTCATCCCCACTCCTGGGGTGCCCTGGTCCCCCCAGCACCCCGCTCCCGGCAGCCAGCCCTGCCCTCTGGTGGGTTGCCAGGCTCTGCCTGCCCCAAACAAACTTCCCAGTGGCTCTGCCACCCCTGGGCAGACACCCCGTCCCCATACTGCCACCCAAGCTGCCGGCCGGTGGACTTACAGTGATGCTGGGGGGTTGTAGCATGAGGAAAAGCTGTTTATTCCAGACCCTTTCTGTTGGCAAAGGGATTTAGGCAGCGCAGGGGCTCCCTGAAGCCTGGCACACTGGTGGCTGTTGCTACAACACAACCCTCCTCTTAGCAACTCCTCCCTGCAGCAGCTCAGCGCCTAAAATCCCTTGTTTGCACCCAGATGGGTGCATTCCAGGTTCAGGTAGGTGCAGGCAGCTGGCTCTGCTGCTCCTTGCCCCAGCCACCCACATCCCTTTCCCTTTAGCATCCCTTGCACCATCGCACTCCCATTGTCACTTCCAAAGCCTGCCTGCACCACTGCCTGCCTGCAAGCTTCCCTTGGAGGCTCCAGCCCCTTGCTGCCCCCAGCCCTCCCTCCTCATCCCCAGCCCGGTTTTGGCTGCCGTCGCCTTATCTCCAGCTCCCAGCAGCGCAGACCCAAGGAGGTGACTCGGTGGCAGCCACCGCCGGGTCCCAGCATGGCTGGGTGGCTCTGGCAGTGACAGCACCTCATTTCCATGCCTTGGATGCAGGCATGGAAATGCTCTCCCCTCCCAGCACGCTCCTCTGATGTTTCAAACGCTCAATTAACTTCTGAGGACCCACGTCTTGGAGATGGTGGGAGGCATCGGGCTTCAGCTCTGCCTTGGAGTTTGGCCTCATCCCGAGCAGAGAATAATTCGCTGATCAAACCCCACTTTCATCCCCAGATTGCATTTCTAGCATTTTAAGGCAAGGGGTGCTCTGCCTCAACCAGTCACCCAGTCCCATCCCCCTTTCAGGGTACCACAGAGGCTCTTGTGCCTCCTACCCGCTGCGGCATCCCACATCCACCTCTCCTTTGGTGTTTGTTAAGAAACAAAGAGGCTGGTGTAAGTCGATGGAGCCCCTCTCTACCTCGTCCCATGCCATCAATTTTTCATCAAAGAGACGGTGGGAAGCGTGCAATTATCTGCTCCATCAATAATGCACGCTACTGCGCTTGGCTCGCCCAGGCTGGGCAGCTGCTTTCCCTGCCTGCGCTGGAAGGTGCTGAGTTCAGCCACGGCTTGTCTAGGCTCAAACAACACCTGTGGAGAGGCTGGAAAACCATCCCCAGCCCTTAGTCCCAGCCCAACGCTGCTCAGACACCCACCACCCCATATTTCTACCTGCACTCCCACTCCTGGCAGGCAGCATCACCCCAGCACCGCCTCCAGGGACGGGGGCAGAGTTAAGGGTATTTAAAGATATTTTCCCCTTCACCTCCTATCTCAAATCCACTCGGAGATAGCTGCGTCTATCCTCCCCGCAGGTCCGGGATGAAAGGCTGGGAATTCACATCAGAAATGATGGAAGCTTTGAAACTGCTGGCACTTGCTATTTATTTTTTAATTTCCGCCCCCCCCACCCCCCCCAACATTTCCAAGCCTCTGAAGTTTTCCCTGCCTTTAGAGCCTTTCATCTACCCCGAGTCACACCCCTCCTTCTTGTATTTGCTTAGGCCAAGTTTTTTTTTTTTATTATTTACTTAACAAATTGCTCCAAGATGCTTTGATGTATCCGATTAGCTTCGTCTGCTGGAATCAATTCATCTCTAGACAGAGCAGCGTGGAGCAAAGCGAGGTGGCGGGGACTAGCAATAAACATCCGCGGGAGGCAGGAAGGTCCAAAAGTGGCCAAAAATAGGGTGTGCCAGAGGATTCTGCATCCCCATGGCATGGTGTGACCCCATCCCTGGCTGGGGAGGGGACAGCAGTGCACCCCAGAGAGAGGCTGAGGATGGGCCAACTCATTTCACTTGTGAGCATGGAGGCATTTAAGCCCCTGACAGTGCATCAGCCTCTTCTGCAACACAATCTCGCTCCAGCTCAACAAATAACACGTCCCTGGATGAGTATTAAGCCCAGTTCCTTAATTGTTATGAAGACCGGATAAGCTGAGATTTACATATCTGAGAAAAAAAATTGCTGCAGCAGCTTAGGAAGATCAGAGGGAAAAAAAATCCCATTTTTCCCTCTCTTCTGTAACAAAAGCTCACAAAAACATCAGGAGATAGTGATGCCTTCATTTGCTTTGCTCGATGCCCCCGTCAACCTTTCCCGTCCCCTTGGGACACAGGTACTTGCTGCAGCTTGGAGGGGATGTCAGGTCCCTGATGGCCCCAGCCCCTCCCTGGGGATACACCGGTACCCAAGCCCATCCTCAGGACAACATCTGGGCGGACATATCGGTGTGGCAAATGGCTTTTTTCCCCCCCCCTTCTACTTCTAAAAGCAAAGCCTTTCCCTGGGGAACCCCATCACCTGGGGGATCTGCAGGTCCCCCAGGGGAAACAGGGAGATTTGTAGCCCAGCCGCTCCCCACACACCTTGGCAGGACACACCAGCCGATGAAAGGCAGCAAATAAGCGGGGTTTTATCTGATTAAACTAGGGATGAACTCCCTTCCCATGCATCAGGGCTGAGGGGGGGGGAAATGTACTGGAGGGGGTATATTAGCCAAAGCATTACAATTCAATTTAAGAGTTAATTGGATTGCATTGAAAAGCGCTTAATCGGAGCCGAGTTCGATTTAATAGAGACACCACATCTTCTGCTCCCTTCCTAACTGGGATGATGATTTTAGGGCAGGCGATTACCATCGCTATGCAGCTTCGGGCCCAGCTGCCGGCTGCTGATATCATGTTGTACAAGGAAATAAAAGCCTCTGGCTTACACTGGGTAACTCGGGGAAGCAAGATGCTCGGCATAGAGCCGACTGCTCCTCAGGCTCCCACCCGCCCGCCTGCTTCTTCAAGATAAGGCTCAAGAAAGCAGTTGTGCCACCAGCAGGGACTGTGATTCCTCTGCGAGTCGCTGCTGGTTTATTTTGCTCAAAGAAAAAGAAAAAAAAAAAAAAAAGACAAAAAGAAAAAAATCAGCGGCTAGGAAGAGGTGGGATGACTTTTGAGGGCAAACTCCAGCTGAGTCAGCTCCTGGCTCCTGAAAAACAATTCTTCCCCCATCCCAATGCACAGGGTTGCTTTTGGGAGTGATGGGGACAGCCGGTGTGATGGCCCCAAATGATGTCCTGCCATTTGCAGTGACCAGAGGGAAAGGGAGCAAGGGGAGGTCAGCAGAGCTTCCCTGGATGGGTTTCTCTTTCCAGCACGAGTCAGAGCATCCCTCAGTGCTGCTGTTCACCCGTGATCACAAACTGGGGCCAGACCTAAAAAAGTCCCCTCCTGAGATCAAAAAATGAGGGAAACAGGTTATGACTGTGACCCTGGGTCCCCGCTGGGTCTCTGTGCATTTTTTTTCCTCCTAGGAAAACATTCTCATCTGTGTTTTAAGATAAACTTTCAGCAGCTGGCAATGTGAAGAAGTGGAGAAATACCACAAAAAGCAGCCCAGTACCAGTGGGTGACTGGCAGCACTTGGCAGCTCCCCAAAGAGTCTGTTTTCCAAGCATACCTTCTAAAACCTGGGCATGTGACCCCAGTTAAATACCTTTCCCTAACCCCACACCTTTTAAGAGCCCTCAAAGCATTTTCATCCTCCAGCTTTGAAAAATCAGTGGCTGCAGGGGGGGAAGTGCTGCGGGTCACCATCAACCCTGGTGACAGGCGCTGCCGTGACTTGCCCTTGGCCTGGCAGGCGGTTTATCGCCGACGCTGTGGCCATCCGTGCTCATGCTTGCTTATGGATTGACTTGATTTGCTGATAAAACGTCCCTTCATTTCAGCAGTGAGCATAAATCCATCAACACCCCAAGCCACTGCGCTGAGAGCACCCAGCACCATGCAGCACCGGCTGCCCTGAGCACCCACCACCCTGAGCACCCACCACCCTGAGCATCTGCCCTTGGCCATCAGGCCCCATCCTTCATGAGGCAACACCAGGAAAGGCTGAAGAGACACCCAACGAGGATGGCTGAGCCCTTCTGTGCCATATTCACTGAGGGTTTAGTGGTGCTGCCGGGACTGGGTTGGAGCAGGACACACAGGGGTGCACACAGGCCAACGCACGCACCCCCAAACACACAAAAAATGGTATTTTGGAGCCAGGTTTCTCCTTTTGTCCTGGCTTACTGCTGGGGTCCCTGGTTTGCACCCCCCACAGCCCTCCCCCCGTGGCCACCCAGACCCAAGGAGGAGAAGCGATGCAAAGCCCAGCAAGCCCAACCTGTTTCCTACCCCTGCCCAGAGCCTGGATGACCCCAAACCCCTCATGCAACATAGCTGTGGTACTCAGGCCATTTGCAACCCCCCCAACCCACTCCCTGCCTCCC